AAAGCAAGGCGTCAGGGAAAGGCTCTTTTAAAGGTTGCAGAGGCAATGGACATGCCTTTCACGAGCAGAGAGGGGGAACCCAAAAAGCCAGGCTGTTGCAGCAACATTATTTGAGCAGAGAAGGGAGATTTCAGTACTACTGGGAACGAGCCCTGCATCTGATTTTAAACACTGCCACTGGGCAATGGTGAAGCCTGATGAAAATTCAGAAGTGTTGATTTTTAAAAATAGTTACTCTAGCTGGTTGTGAGTCTTCTGCACTCCTGCATACCCAGACTGGACTGGAGTTCAAATGCACTCAGTAGCGGCACTGCTTTTGCTGAAGCTGTGCATTGGTGTCTTCTCAAGGCAAAAAGAGTCTTACTGCTGTCATTTTGAAACTACTGCTTTGGGAAACACAACCTAATTGTACAGAAAAAAATCAGCAAAATTACCCTCCTAGCTTTTTTTAATTTTTATTTCAATCTAAAACACTCTGAATAAAATCATTTAAAGGAATTACGTGCCTAAGGAGCAGTACGTAAGCATGGAAATTCACGGATCACTTTAATAATTTAAAGATGCCTTGCAACATTCCTCGACTCTTCACTAGGAATTAAATGATCAAATATAGAAAAACTTTTGGTTTTCTACACACTAACCCATGCATAGATTTTTCCTCAAGTTCGTACGTGAAGCCAGAAGTATGGGATGCCTGTGAACTTTTCTTACCAGTTTAGGGTTGTGCAGAACGGAATTGTCTTCCTCCTCTTCTTTCCTTTTTTTAAACCGAGCTGTTGGGAGAGGGGCTTTCAGGCTCGCTCGGCGTTAGTGAGCTCTGCTCCCGTGGAAGGTGTTCACTGAGCTGACCCTGCCAAGGGGTCCAGGCATCACCGAGCCTCTCCCCAAGGCTGAGTGAAATGAGAGCTTCAGCAGAGGGGCTGCAGGAGGAGGCTCTCGGGAGCCGGCATTCAGCCTTGCCGTGGGCTCCACTGAGCTCTGCAGCACAGCCTGCTGTGACATGGAATGGCATGGCATGGCATGGCATGGTGGCCACCCACGCGTGGCGGGGAAGAGCGCTGGGTGCCGCACCCCCAGCGTTTCTGGGTGGGAGGCACCTGAGCTCTCCCTAAGCTGCATCCTGCTTGTGTCCTGCCTTCTTACGTGCAGTGTGTTAATCTAGAGCTAAGACTTCTCTATTTTAGAGATATGTTTGAGTTATTTCAAGCCGTCTTTAATTTTTCTCTTTCTCAGCAGGTTTGAGACAATTTGAGAAAGAACCGTAGAAGGCCATTAAAGACGCTGGACCAATCAGTTGGGGGGGAAAACAAAAAAGAGGAAAAAGTGCTAAATTGTTCTTTTTATATTTATGTTTATTTACCAAAATGTCTTTTTGCATTATCCCAGTTAAAACCATGTATATTAGCACTGTATTTAATAATCAGTCTAGACATTCATCATAATAGTACTGCCTTTGCACAAGAGCCTTTATTCCTAAAGAAACCCATGCTGTGAAATATATAGACTCTCCTACTGATAGTCGTAACTATGTATCTGAACAGTGGTTTCAACTGGCATAAGAAGTCAACCCAAAATGCATGTAAAGTGAAGTTGCTTAAGAAAGGTGTGCAGTAAACCTATAAAAACAATGGTTACTTTTGTAATACAGAAGTCTTTCTTTCTGCACTTTAGATCAAGGCATGGAAGAAATATCTTTCGTGGACAATGTAATATTTTCTATAAGTTGCCCATGTCATGAGAAATACTGCATCAAGAACGCGTTTTAATTTTTTTTATTTTATACTATTTTTTTAAGTATCAATTTTTCCACTCTAGTTTAAGTTAATACCTAAATTTGGAAGATTATGTTAGCTGACAGCGGTACTGATATTTCTTTTTGTTGTTAGTGACTAGTAATTGAATGCAATTTAGAATATATACACACATAGCTTTACAAAGTTTAGCCTAAAGGCACTACTAATGGTAGAATGCTTGAATACGTGCTAGAGTATTATATTTAGTAATAAACATACAGAATTAGCCAATATCACAGCTTAAAAAAATAAAGACAAAATCGCACACTTTTCTATAGTAAGATTTCATAATTGCCATTAAAGATATGGTGAGATAAGTATTAAAAAATTTTAAATGTCAATTGCCCAGTAATGGGTAATTAAAAAGAAAGTATAGTTTTTAAGAGGAAAAGGTAAGGGTATAGAGGGTCAAAAATAGGTCACTTGTATAAAACGTTGTAGTTTAATTTATATAAAACTACCATAATTAAAAAGAAAAAAAAAACTAAACACAGTTGGAGCTTGTTTCAAATGACTGCACACTAAATCTTGCCATCCATCAGTGCCGTACACTAAGTCCACCTAAAATGAAGTAAACCTCTATCTTTATAGTGCTTCTTTTTAACTCCGTCTCCCAAATATCTTATTTACAGATGTTTTCATTGTATATAGTAAACACATGGCTATAAGATGTCAGCTTGGCTTGAATTTACATGCCATACAGTTTAGCATTTACATCCTACAGTGAGTGTATGGGTGGCATAAACTGAGCAACTGGTGAAGTAGCCCCTGAGCGTGTTGTTAGCAGATTTGTTGTGCATCGGGTCTACCAGGATCTCCCCTTTCACCACTTCCATCTCTTGCAGCATCTGCCTTCTTCCTGAAGAAGAATAATGTTACATTTCAACCCAAAGATGAGCTCCCCTGCTTGGCTGAAACATCTTGTTTACATATAGAGATGCACGTAGTTATCTGTAGGGGGTGAAACTGTGCCTGACAGTGTCTGCGAGTTGTCATGTTTCTTGTTTGGGGTTTTTGTAAACACTCCTCTGAGTCTTTCAAATACATCCAATAGCTGCAATAAAAATCATTTGTTCAAACAATGTATTCTGAAACTGCATCCACAATAAATGGAATATTTCCATCAGCAGCCCCCTGTTTATTAATGAGTAGAAAAGAGCCAGTTGTTGTGACTGGGATAGGAATGGTGCCAAGGCTGTCTAAAACACAGTATCATTGCAAATAACCTTGAAGCACGTCTCTCCTGATGTACTCTCCTGCACCAGACAGCCAAGTTGTAAAATCAGCAGCTTTAACCTACATATTCTTAAGGAAAAAAAAAAATTAAATCTTAATTGTCAAGCCTATGGGTACAAGACAGGAGCTGTGCATCGTCCAGAAGTCAGCATGCTCAATGAAGTAGATTCTGACCTAGCAGCACAGCTGTCTGCTTTTCTGCTTTGAAAAATGTTTTCTGTGTGAGAGCCATCGCATTTCTTCTGTCTGCCTCAGTGGGATGTCCTTCCAGGCTTGGATGATCATGGAGACCAAGCCTGGGGAGCTGCTGGCTTTGCTGTTGTCCTCCTATCTGCTTCATTTTGCTCTAACGGCAGCACAGCATGTGATGCCTTGCTCTAATCAGGTCATGGTCATCTGAAAGAGGCTGCTCTAACCAGGTCATGGTCACCTGAAAGAGGCCCCCCAGCCTGCCGCCAGCTCCACGGGAAGCACTGCGAAGGCCGCAGCAAGCACAGCTTTCTGAACTGCTGGGGGAGGAATAATCGGATGCTGCCTCATTTCACCTGGAAAGAGCTTGTACGCTTCATACTCTCCAACTACGTTGCTACGCTTCTCTGCAATCTTTGCTGAAGTGACGTTTGTCCTTGTCAATATAGGTAAGTTTCTTTTGCTCCTGGTTATTGCCTTTTCTGCGAGCATGGAAGTGTGCTGGGCACAACCGGTTTTACTTCTAGGAAATACCGTAAAGCTGCCATGGTTTGTTCCCACCAGCTGGCACCACCTCCTGGTAGAATTCACCAAAGCCAAATCCCGGCGGCTGAGTCAGCAGTGCTGCAAGTTATTTTGGTGTTTCGATACCATTACGAGGTGATGATTTTGTGGATGATACCAGATTGTTACCTTAGCTTCTGGCCATGCTTTCCTGCAGCTCACTCGGCATCCCAGCCAGACTTTCTCTTATCAGTGTGCAGAATGCCCCAAAACAGCCTTTCTCAAGCCTGCCTGTGCTTTGACCTAGCACTACCCATCTGAAAATACTTTAAAGCAACTGTGAGTCTACCTCAGGGTTTGTGTGGTGTTTTTAAAGAGAAGTTTTTCTATGTTTTTGTTAGATAAAGCCAACACTCGTCTGGATATGTTGTTCTGAATGCTGCCAGCAGAGTTGCAAAAAACTAGTTTTGTGTCTGAGACTTCCAGAGCAAGTCAGTCTGAATTTGTAGGTAGCCCTTCTGTTTGGCTGAGTGCATTGTGATGTGTGTTATCGCTGCATCTGATGCTGTCTTCAACTTTTCACCACTAATCACGTAAGAGTTCAGTTTCTAGGTGTTCAGAGGGAGGGCTACATGAGGTAATGGGTACAACTTCATTCTTTGGGTTCTAGCTAGAGCACGATCCTGTTTGATGCATAAGCCACAAAGTAGTCTCTATGTATTGTCCTTGTACAGGAATTATAGAAGCTCATTTCTATCTGTATTAAGAGTTAAAAAACAGACTTTGGGCATGTTTTCATAACTAATTGTATGAAACAATGTAAGCATTACACTAAGTTTTGTTGTTATTCAAACTTTCTTCATATAAAATTTTAAAGCAGTACAGATTCACACTATAAAAATCACAACTATGTAAAAAGCAAAGTAATTAAAGAAAACATTCTTTGACAGCAACTCTTGAGCCAGTATGGCTGACTGCACTGGAAATAATATTTTTTGTTAAACATGTCTTTAATTATGGAAAAGAAGAAAAAAGGAAAAGAAGAGACATTGTCTTTTTATTATTAATCAAAACCAGATTTCTGCTAAGCATCTTTACAGAAGACCCATCCCTATTGATGCATTCTTACACCAGCTAGTTGTCTCCTCCTCAAAAAGGAGGACAAGTAACTGCTCGCAATGATTGTCAAGTTCAGAAGAAGAAATCAAGACCAAGCTACTGAGTACATCTTCTAATGTGGAAGGAGTTAACACGGAGGTCTTGCAGAAACCACTGGCATTAATATTCTGCTTTGAATGGGTAGTCCTTGTGATTGACAGCTCTGAGAAGAGAAAGAACTGGTTATTTAAGTATTGTAGAAAGTATCTTCAGCGGCATTTCCCTACTGCAGTCTTCCTCCCCCCTGCCAAGGTACTCAAGTTTTGCTGCTGTCATTAGTATGAACACAGGCTTGTGAGCAAGCATGTGCAACACTGAGATGCTGAAGGGAATGCCCTGAATGCATCTCCCTCCTGACATCAGTTCCAGGACATGTCTCATTACCTGGGGCTCCAGTCTTAAGATACGAGCTCTCCCTGGTTTTGGTCTTATATATTTTCAAGATATGGGGGATGAAAATGCAGGTAAAGATAGGCTTAGTGCACTGTAAGGATAATAAAGAACATACTGTAGCGCTGGAACTGCCCTCCAGTTCCTGTTAAAGCTGAGGATGCTGTCCATCTCATTTTTAGACAGTTCAAAGTCAAACACCTAACAGGAGAAAGAAAAAAAAAAAGCAAGCCCTTTTTACTTACGTTCATGAATAGTTAGCTACTAAGTCTGCTCCATGCATTTACGACTTGGTAGGAACCTACTGCATCCAGACTAAGCATAGTTAAGAAATCCTCTTATTTCTCAGCCAAATACCAATTTACTCTTGAAGTAGTCAAGATAGTCCTTTTCTCTCTGAGGTGCTGTTCACAGCAATGTCTTACAGTTCTGGGTGGCTGAATGCAAACACCACTGCAATTTGCATTGTAATGCACAGACAGAAAACTTAAGGTACTAAGGATGGATTACTCGATGTGTTACAAACACTGGAACTAGCAATAAATACTTCTGCTACAACAGAGGACTACTGGGTACCGACTGCAAATAGTTGTCTCACAGTTTACCATCTAAGAATCCCTGCTGGTGGTTCATAGGAGAACTCAGCGCAAAATGCGGCAGCGTGAATTGGAAGCAACACCGAGATGTCACGCAAGATGCCAGGCCTCATGAGCAAACATCCAGCGGAACCTCCCTGCCAAGTGGAACCACGGCCTCAACACGAGACATAAAACCGTAACAGGTCTGGTGTTGACAATTTTTTTCTTTACACCCTAAAGAGGGACTCACTAAGCCTCTCCCAGAGGGAAAGTCCAAACCTGGGATTTCCCTTCCAGGGCAGCAGAGCTTGGACCACCCTGGTGTAACCCATTTCTCTCCTGGCAGGAACAAAATGCTTTTTCCCAGAGAACAAGTGTGGACTTTAGTTAGGTAGTGCTGAGCCCCAGTCTTTAGATCTCTGTGCTCCCCTTCCATAGCCACTTAGGTGCTGCCTGGAAACACGGAGGAGATGTGGGTGTGGGTGCCTATCCTGTGTGAAGAGGTGGCAGCAGTCCCAATGGAAACTTCACCTTGATGTTTTCCTCAAGACGCTGTGGTTTGTCAGACTTGGGAATGACAATCATGTCTCTTTGGATAAGAAACCGGATCAGAACCTAAGAAAGGGCAAGGAGGAGCATGAACACAGGGGTACCAAGAAATCTGTCAAATGCATCTTGTGTTCTCTCTTCCCTCCCCCTCACCCCCAGCCCCCTCCCCGCACAAACCAATTTCTCTTTCTACAACCATGTTCACTCTTTGGAAGATTCTACTGGTTTGCACACAGGAGTTTGATGTGCCAGCATTTGCTTGCAGTCTATTGACAAATTATAAATTGTTTCTGGCCTATGTTTTTCTAAATCCTAGGTTCTCCAGGATTTGTTTAGTTTTCACTTAGGGTGGGGAGGGGGGAGAAAAATGATGATGCTTCTGGCTTGTGTTATACGGGTGCTCAGACCAAATGAGCATAATGATACTGCAGATTATGTTGGGCCCACAGGTAAGTACCTCACCTAGGTTAAGCTTTCTGGAGTCCTTAAAAGGAAAAAACATAGATTTAAAAAGTTTTCCTCCCTCAGAAGAGGGCTGTTGCATGCAATTTCTTTGTCATGCTCTGCCTGTCCTACAATATGACTATGGCTGATTGCTCGTGAACACGTGGGTTTGTTGGAAGTGCAGTTTCTGCACACCCTGTGCAAGAACTCCTTTGTGTGACTAGCACAAGAGAAAAAAATTTATCTAGAATAATCAAGCAGCTTTCAATGATCCTTTGTGAATACGAGCAAACAGGGAGCAATCAAACAGGTCTGCAAATTATAGGGCTTCTCTGAAGAATAACTTGGCTAACGTAGCTGGAGAAAGGAGTAACACGTTGGCTTGATGATTTTTAAGTAAACTTCAGAGGAAAGGAGTTCTCAGGGAGCAAGTGCTTCTCTCTGGGAGCAGAAGTAATCTCTCTAGGAAGGGGGACACCTGAGCTAAGCACGTACTGCTGCTGATCAGACCCCTCTGGAGCTCAGCACTCAAGACCTCTTAGAAAATACCTGATAATTAGTATGAGTGCTGGTAAGAACCGGGGCAGCATGAAGAGTCAAGTGCAGCTCAACCCCTTGATAACATACCTTTAGAGAAAGCAGCATCTGCTAAGACCGGCCATCAGCTTGTTAAAATGTCTGAGGAGGAGGAATAGTTTGCCCCGACAACCCCACTTACCTGGGCAGGGGTTTTATGATGTCTAACTGCAATCTCTTTAATCTTGGGATCATCCAGCAGCGCTGGTTCCCCTGGCTTGGCCCTATTATGAACAAAAACCAGGATATTACGGTAGAAAGGTTTTAGCTTCCCTGCAGGAAAAATGTACGAAATAATCTGCAACAAAGCCACACCACTTTTCTCATTATACCTGCATTAATTACGTCATTTGCCACAAAGATTCAAGTTGCAAATGCATTGTTTTGTATACAGAAAGGCTGCAATGCTTTTTTACCATGGGCGGTTAGGAGAGCCAAGAGGGCTGTACGCAGTCACAGCAATCCCTTTGGATTGGCAGTACTTGATCAGCTTTTCCTGTGTTAGGTAGGGGTGACATTCGATCTGCAAGCACAGAAACATGGTGGTTGGCGCAGAGGCAGACAGCACTGAGCTCCAGACCATAACTAACATTTTAATTCCTCTTTGGTCACAGAAAATGTGAAGAAAGAGACTCCAAATATCATGATCAGAATCTGTCTTATAAAAAAGTTATTCGTGTCACAGCAATACCTGGAGGCCTGGCACGCAGAATAGGGCTTCCTCATGCTACGTATTATGCAAAGATAGGGAGAAATAGATGAGAAGAGTGAAGGTATTATCTGTATCGGGAATTGGGGAAATCAGTCTTCCTGGACTACTGGAGAGCAGGATTGCATCTTCAGAGGGCAGCTCAGAATACCTGAAGTTCAGTTTCTGCTCCAAGTCACCCAGTCTCTCCTCAAGGAGTCCCCCAGACTCCTGAAGAAGCCTGGGGAGACGAGCTTTGCTAGGTTAGCTCAGATCATGTTGCCACCAGCATTCAGGCAAGATGTCCTTCAACTAGAAACAACAGGAGCCTACACAGGGATGCTGCTCAACTTGCCACAAGCCATAGCATGACCACAGGGCTATGTCTATACTGCATGCATAACGTGGCACTATGCACACACCCGGCTGTTTCTAAATGCTATAGCTTTGCTACCAGGCATGGTGACACGAAATCCATGTACAGTAGTTTACTTAGACCTGAGCTAGATCAGGCAACTACTGTAATGACAGTGTGTGGCACAGGCACACCCATGGAAACGCAAACTGGAGTCAAAGCCTAAAGTTCTTTAAAGTATCAAAGTAGGTGCAGCTTTTAACATGGGGATAGCTGGGTCTATTCCCACCAGAACTTTATGACCCCCAGTAAAATATTCCCAAGTCCTATGCCCCTCTGGTGCTAAGCCTGGCCAGTGTACACACTGGCCCCGAGCCCAGCACAGGCAGCACCATGCCTGCATGGAACCCAGTGTGGGGATTTCCCTGGATATTCCCACGCCAGCAGAGATGGGCATTCAGGACCCTCAGCCAAGGATAAAGAAGTCGCGTATGGAAGAAAGTCAGAAGGTCCTGATGCCCCTGCTGTCCTGTGATTTCATTCATGAGGTACGTGGTGAGAATTTGTTATACAATTGTACACTTCAACCCTCCTTTTCCTAACGAAGTTTAGTGAAATGGTTTATGCTGAAAAATAAATAAGCCCAGTGAATGTGTTAGAGCATTCCTGTAGATTCGTATGCCTGTGCAGTTGTTTGCAGTGGGGTTTTTGCTGGTTATCCCAGGGCTGGCAGAAATGGGCCTGTGGCAACTTGGGCTGTGACACTGGGAGTGCAAAAGATGACATGTAGCAGAAAGTCACAAGGGCTTACATAAGGTAATGGACATTTTTACTTTTTTGAAATGTCTAAAAATGAAATATCCTCATCTGTTTCATATTACTGTGATATGAAGAATCTATACTGTTTTCTATGGTATTGCTCTCAAATCTCCACTACATACACACAAGTCTACAAAAAGTTTCTGTTGAGATCCCTGTCAGCTAAAAACCATCAACACTGACACCGTAACAAAGCCGTGCATATTGCAGGCAGTACTGACTTGAAGGGATTTTCAGACAAGTGGAGATACTTCGTGCTTTGCGAGATCTTTCTAAGGCACCAAAACTAGAGATTATGGCAGAAGTCAATTTTAATGCTGAAGTGTAGGAAGAATATATTTAGGAATATTCCAAGGTTATTTGACATTAATGGAAAGAAAAATCTTACCTGGTTATTTACCGGCTTGTATTTTAGTCCTGGCTTGTTCAAGATTCTTTCAATCTGCTCATGGTTAAAGTTGGAGATACCAATGGCTTTTACCAGACCACAGTCCACCAGCTCTTCCATGGCCTAATGAGCAAGGACAAACTACGTGTATTTATAAGGTGGTGTTACTGTCAACAACACTTTTTTATTTCCCTAAAGCTAGTTACAAACCAACAAACAACCCACACTAGATTAAACAATGGTATCTCAAATTAAAAAAAAAAAAAATCTTTGCACCCTGTATTATCTGTATGCTTTATGTCCTGTTGCAGATGGGAAAGTAATATAAAAAGAACGGCTTGGCTAATATTTTTGTAATGGGAAGCAAAATCTTTTGCTTTGGCTTCTTTGGGGGTTATTTTACCAGGGCTAAAAAAACAAGGGAGAGCCCTCCACACCCTCCTATGCCAACACACTACCTCTGAGTTGGCAGAACACAGAAGGGAGGATGTATGCTTAAACTCAGTCATCGCAAAATACTTTCCTGCGACTGTAATCTGCTATGGTAGAGAAAACTATTCATTCACAGAGCTGCAGCATCACAGAGGCGCAGGTAGCAGGAGGAGACACTGAATCCTCTCAGTCCATAAGGAACGGAGGATTAAAGGACAGCCTGAGATGCTGATGCCCAGCGCTGAAAAGTGTGAGAATTCCCTGTCTGTATGAAACACCCAGAAAATAAACAGCCACACCTAGATTAATCTACGCTTCAGTTCTACCATTGTGCGTGTTCAAATACCATTTTAGTGACAGCACCTACAGTGCTGATAGTTTCCTACTCTTTAGTCTTATTAAAGACCTCCCCCTCTTGCTCCGCAAAACAAGAGGTAGCAGCAGCTCTGCTTGTTCTGGTCATGAAATACACCTTTGTGTGACTATCCTCGTACCCAAACCTGTCCCTTGATTTCACCAGGCATGCAGATCTCTGCTCTATCTTTAGTGCTGACACCTGCTCAAAAAAGCAGACATCAACTTACCTCCCATGTGTCCAGAAAATTGGTGTCGCTGGGGATACTCATACCCTTGTCATCCACAGGATGCAGTTCTTCACCAGCCTGTTATTTCAAGGCAGATAATACACAGAATTTTTTTAAGAGTTTAATTTCCTACTGTTTACTAGCGCTTCTGACTGGAATTATAGGCAGCAGGTTATTTAAACATACTGCATACTTAAAAATTATACATGGTCTTCAGGCATCAAAGGCCCCCCCCTTTTGGATGAGGGCCGTATTTCTACAAATCATTCCCCACATTTAAAGAGTGGGGATTAGTAGCAATTCTGTGAGTAACTTCGACAGGTCTAGCGAGAAGGGAACAGACACCTCCCTGCCTTTATTCTAGAGTTTTTATTTATTTGACGCAGATGTAGACTGTGGAAGGAAAGGCAGCACGCTTTTTCTGCGCTGTGCTGCTTTTTCGCTGTTAGTTACTCCATATCAAGCCAACATCTCCAGAACCCAAAGATGTTCACACTGTCCCAGCCCAGCAGAAGGCCATGATCCCAAAGGGCACCACTGTGTGTTGGCTACAGCTTCTCTGAAGACCCAGTGGGCTCATTAGCAGTGGTCATACCTATGACTATCTCGCTCCAAAAGAGATGGAAAGCCAGACCCACGCACTAAAACATACCGCTACCAAGTCAGTGACTGAATGCTTGCTGCCACCAGGTTCAGGGAAGTGCCAAATGAACCACAGCACATCCCAGCTGCACAGTGAAGATGGCCACAGCATAAATGAGAGAACACACCATGTTTCTAGCCTGATAAGGAGAAGACAAATGTAGAACAGGACTACCTTGAATCCCATAGGAAAGTGCATCAGGTAGAGGTCAAGGTAGTCTAGTTGCAGCGCAGTGAGGCTCTTCTTGCATGCTACCTTAACCAGGGACCTCTCGTGAAACGTGTTCCACAACTGCGGGAAGAAACCAAGCCCGACCGTGACTGTACAGCTTCCACCATCCAGACCAGGGGACAGCAACTTCTCCCTTGGTGGTCTGGGAGGACAACTCCCTCCCCGTCTCCCCAGTGCACAGTGAAGACAAGGATGCCAATATTTTAGTGGTAAGGTAGGACAAACATACCACAAGTAAGAGACTCAGCAGTGAAGGTGGACAATCAGTATTCCTACCTTAGAAAAGAGAGTCTCAGAACTAAATGTAACACCCTGCCAAGTGTATCTGACACAAAGCTATTAGCATTACAGCTTTTTTTTTTCAGCCTAAATTTTGAACCTTGAGCATCTTGTAGCTACCCTCTTTCTGTCCCTTTTATCTGGCCACTGTGACAACTGTTGTGAATTTTGCTAATTTTTAAAATGAAATTTCACATCTTTTAAATTGAAGAACTTGCAAGTATTATTCAAATCAAAATCTATTCTTAGAAAAAAAAAGAATATGTGGAGAAGCTTAGTTATGCTCAGTATTTTCTGGTTTTGCTGGTGCAAACATTGAGTCAGAAGTTTCTTTAGTTGAAGTGTTCTGAAGTTTTGGTAAAGAGCATTGCTGAGATAAGCGGATGAGATGAAGGAATGGAGTAAATACACAGAAAATACTTTAGGCTGCAGTCCCATACTTTAATTTGTGTTTCCTTGCAGGCTTACATTTTGTACATGAGACCATTTTCAAATGTCTTGCAAACCAGCAAGTAGCACAGCACCTCTGAGTTCAGACATCTGCCTTGCCTTTTTTTTGCTTCTGATCTTTCTAGGGTGCGTGCAGATGAACCTTCGGTATAGTTAAGTGACTGAACAGATGCAAGGAAATCATTAGATCAGCAACGCTATCTTTCAAAAGTTGTCAGTGGTTCCTTAGGTAAAGCTCAGTCCAAATTGCAAATAAAGGATGGAATTTATAGCACGCAACAAGACAATCATGAAACGAACATCGCAGAAGGGACTAAGTCTTTAGGTTACTTTACAGATGCAACAGGGGTTTCTCTTTGAGAAAAGCTAAATGCCCCAATAATCCTGCATCCTTGTACCTTACTGACAATGAAGAGGTCTTCCCGTTTCACAGCCCCCTCCTTGATCTTCTGCTGGACCGCATTCCCTATTTCATTTTCATTCCGGTAGAAATAGGCGCAGTCCAAGAGGCGGTAGCCCGCGTCGATAGCAAACTTCACCGCCTCTTCCACCTTTCCTGGGGGAGCCTGAAAGCAAAACACCACCAAACCATCAGCTCTTCAGCGGCCTGCCAGCGCCTGCTCCC